TAAAGTGAATACTCCCAACATCTAAACTTTCTTTTCTTTCACAAATAAACATTATTTATACTAGGAATTGATGTTATCAAAGTACGAGATTAATATAACACAAGAACTAATTTTCTTGAATTAAAATGGAAAACACGAAATTCTTAAAATTAATTCAGAGAATTTTCTACAAATATTTGGGAAATAGAAACAATATATTCAGAATCTACACGACGAGAGGATGAAAATACATATAAGGAACTTACAAATTGGAGCTAAAATGAGAAAGATATGAAAGATTGAAGTTGAAGGTACAACAATGGTGGAAATCCGAGCTTTGAGAAGGAAGAAGAAGGCCCTTTTGAACTGATTTCGGGCTAAGAATGGTGTGTTTGAGTTCAGCAAAAATTGGGCTATTTATAGCACGAAAAATCTCATAGGCGGCCAAACAGGCGGCCGCCTCTAACCCTGTACCGGCCGCCTTCCGTCACATCACCGACAGATTTGACGCCGGTCACCATATCCGCCGCAGGCGGTCCGGCAGGCGGCCGCCTGCCGTTCCTGTCTGGCCGCCTGCCGTCAAATCCCACCGACCGGTGGTTGGTTTGTCGCCTTGTGCCGCAGGCGGTCATCGAAGGCGGCCGCCTTCTGTCTAGTGTCGACCGCCTTCCGTTTTTCTCCGGTCCGGTCAAATTTTGCGAAATGTTGACTTTTTTCAAATAACGGTAGGCGGCCAATCTGGGCACCTATTTGGGCGCCTGTGAGGTTTTTTGTCCGTCTTGTTCTGTATTTTGTGCTCTTCAACTTTCCCTTCTGGACCACTTTGAAATTCCGCTTCCTTCTTTCGATATGATATCATTTGTCACTCAAATTGACGCATTTTGTGCTAAATTGACCCGAAATTTCATCAAACATATCATGGATGTGATTTTTACCTGATTTCATGAAACTTGAACCAAAATATATAAAACATGCCTTGTTTTTCTATTTTTCAATCCAAAATCACTTAAATTTGAGAAGAAAAATAAGTACAAAAATGGACTTATCAAGTATCCAGACAAGATTTGGGGAAATGAATTTCATGATTAAGAAAATGAGCGTTGAAAGATGAGTTGACAAACTCACCTCCCACATCACTTTAAAAACATTTAATTTTGCAATTAGATAAATTTTCAACAAGCTTTTGAAAGTGACAAAAATGAGTAAACACTTTAGACTTTTTGCGCATAGGATAGACTCAAGTAAAACGAGAAGAATCATCAATAGAAGAGACAAAGTATTTAAAACCTAAATTTGAGAAAACTTGGGGACTCCCAAACATCTGAGTAAATAAGTTGTAATGGAGCGGTAAAGTCATGAATAATAACATCTTGAAAAGGAAGACGATGAGAATTGCCCAGTTTACATGAAACACACTTATGAGAAAAACTACTAGAACCAAAAATTTAATTGTTTTTTCTAAGTGATGACAAAACACGATTCACATAGTGTCCAAGATGTTTGTTCCAAACTGGGCCTAGAACAAATGTGGCCTTTAAAGAAGGATATAAGGGTGGTGGGTTTCTTGGAATGGACAGACATAGTCTTTATTGGAGGTCCAGAGTAGAATGACTCCGGCTTGATTGTCCTTAAAACAAAAATAATTTTCATTGAAAATTGTTGAACAATCATTATCCGCACATAATCGTTGAATAGATAATAAATCATATTTGAGGTGTGGGACATGAAAGACTGTGACACCTCACCCGAACGTCCTTGAAATTCAAACTAAATTTCAAAGCTTATGTATTGAATTTCCCTATTATCGAACAATTGTAAAACGATTAAAGTTTTTCGTAAAGTGTGATTAATCATATTACCGTTTGGGTTCATATAATAGGAATGGACTTCTAAATAATTAATTGGTCCATCTTATTGATATTGGGGCCTAACATTCTTAAATAAAAATATATAACCCTTCGGTACAAGTTAGAGCGGGCGACAACCCAAATGTTATTTTGGACCTAACCTGCTAAAAATAGCAATTTTTCAAGAATGGCGTCCTAGACCCACCGGAGGGAGACCCACATGGTTAGTAGCCCAACTATATGAATATTAATATCATAAATAAGTGATAGAATGATTGGAGAAGAATATAAATGCCTATGGTCCCATCTTTGGCATTATTAGGCTAAATAATGGGAGTAGGGTTTTCTTTTATAATTATACATCATATAAATTATTGGGACCAGCCTACACATATTAGAGATCAATAATATGATGTAGAAGGTTGAATTGATCTAAATAAATGAGGATAAGTACAAAAAGTACATCTTATGACAAAAGACAAAAACAATAGGACCCATCTTTCCACTTTTGGAAGTATCGGTAGATATTTTGCTCCCAAATTAATTATGGAACATAAGAGGGCGCCCCACACCTTCCTAGCACCTGAAAAACAGGTAGAATACCTTCCTAGCACCTGAAAAACATGTAAAATAAGTTAGAAAATGGGGCGGACCTATTGAGTTGAGGGCTCAAACAATACAAAAGAGAAATAAAAGAGGACGACCATCCCTTGTTTGGTTGCAATCAAACACCCTACCTTTTATTTTTGTGAGCCACATGTTTAGATAACATCTTGAGAGCTCCTAAACACCTCCCCCTCACCCCCCATTCTAACTCAAAGGATAAGAAAGAAGGGAGAGCCTCACAATCCAAAAAGAGAGAGAGAGAGAGAGATAAGGGAGCTGCCGCAGGGAGAATTCCCGTGCAAAGGTCTTCTTGTTCGACCCATATCTTGAGTTTTACTCATCCAATAAGGGTTTGTGAGGTGTCCGCTGAAAGATCTCGAAAAGAGGAATCCATAGACGTGCGGTTTGAAGAAAACGGACAAGTTTAAGGCCTCCAAATCGTCCGAACAAAACGCAATCTCGCAGAATACGTTTTTGGTATTCAAAGTAAGATTGAATCCAAAACCTTCCTCTCTATTGTCTAAATCATATAAATGATTGAAAAACAATTATACAATGGTTGAAGTGTATAAAATGTTATTATGAAGCAACTTTAATTGTTGAAAAGGTTAGATACTAACCTAGACAAAACCTTGAAAGGTTAGAGAACGAATTCGCCAGAAAACACCCGTTCTAGGGACTGTTTTCGTGTCTTTGGCTAGGAGTGAAGAGCACCTTGAGGAGGCTGTTTAACACTCATTTATAAGCAAGGAATCAATTCTCAAACCCCCTTGGACGAAGCTTGAGCATTGGGTTGAGAAGGAACAATTTAAAGCTCATTTGAGGTGGGGATCGACATCTAGTTGCTTACAACTTGTAGGTTAAGCATGAGATTACCTAAATGTCTAAATCATGTTTTTCATGGATTATAATGACTGATTATTGATGAAATATTGATATATTAGATAAGGAATGAAATTGCAAATGATTTGGAAATCATATTGATAAAAATGGAGTTAAATGAACTATTGTGTGAAATAGGCATTTTTACTCATATGTGAATTGTGTAGATACATAAATGATTATTTATGTATTACATTGGATGATTAAGTTGCTGCTGCATATCTCTAAATATGTAGGGATTTACAAATGGAATATATGATGGATACAAATAATCTTAATAGTATTGAAATACTAGTTAATGATTGTTGTAAATGTTAAGGAATTGAATTTAAGGATTTGATTGAAACTGATGTACTTGATTGTGATGCAAGTGACTAAATTGATGTGATATGATGTAAGATCATGATGAGACAGTCTGTGAGGATGTCCCAAAATAGATTATTGATATTACAATTCTAGGCATAGCGAGTGCTTAGGAATTGGGGTCTATACCAATGTAAGAAGATGTACTTGAGCCCGTGCTCTAGAATTGCACTGGGTAGACATAACGTGGTGATTGATGACATGCATGGTGATGTAGTTGAGTTGGACTCAAGAATGCATGGGAGATATGAGGCTGTAATCTATGATGTGCATGGTGATGTAATTGATTGGACTCAAGAAATGCACGGTGGAGTAATTAATTTGTGTCATATAGGGTGCATGGTAATGTAGTTGAGTTGGACTCAAGAAATACAAACATATGTGTTAGGGTTGGACCCTATGTATTTTTGTGACCAGGGGTCACGGGGTTTGGGTTATGTTTTGTAAACAAACCTTGGGCCTATGGGCCGACTACTTGACTTTATATATAAAGTAAGTATATTTTGAAAAGGGGTAACTTGGGGTTACGACCTAGATTATATTATCACCCTATTTGAGGGTCTTGTGTTTGAAATACTTGTTGTATATCTATTAGATGCCATCCACACCAGTACTTTATAGCCGTATAGAGTACTGACCCCCTTTCGGGGGGCGTCCCACCACCATTTCAGGTTGAGGCTATAGCTTGTTTCCTGTGCTCGTTGCTCGAGTGATCATCTAGGAGAGAACACTTGGTTCGTGCTTCCTCCATTCTGTTTATGAACATTAATAAACATGCTAATGGATATTGTTTTTCATTGTGGAGCCTGCGTGCTCGTGTTTGCCCCGTGTGGCATTATTTTCAAACCATGTTTTCCGCTGCGTATTCAATTACTTATTATGTATCTTTATGGAAGACTTATGTGTGAATGATATTCGAGACGCCTTGTATAATATGGATGAGTTAGACTACGGTTGACTATTCAAATTGTACGGCGGGTTGTTGACGTATCCGGATAGGTCTGGGGCGTGACAATTTAATTGGTATCAGAGCCTTAATCCATAAACTTCATAATGAAGACTCAAAATTCTCTTTTTTCAAATGATTTTCTATATGACCTATGAAGGCACAATTTTTGTGAATTTAGCTCCTCTCCAGTAATTGGAATTCTCCATTAGGAGAGAGATAGAGTGAGATGTGGAAGTGGTGGGGTATGAAGAAAGAAAAGATGAGATTTAATTATTTTTTTAAGGAGAGAGATACCTGAAAAAGAAATGGAGAGGAGTATGACTTGATTTTTGTCATCTTAGAAATCTATATATAGAATGACTATATCTTGTCTATATACGCAAACCCTACAGTTTATTTTGTCTATATCTTAGAAATCTCTGGCAGGTATGAACTATGAAGGCACAATTTTTGTTTGGTTTCATCATCTTCTTCGTATAAACTCACCTTCCAGGTTTTCTACCAATCTACGAAGGTTCACAGGTTAATTGTTACGATTTGTGCGCTAAAGTCATTCTTGGCAGTTTATATCTTTATTTTTTCGGATATCATGGGATCGGACAGTAGAATTTGGGGATGGGTTGTGGTGAGGGGCACCGGTGCTTCATTTCTCTGCATCAATCTATTTTCTCTCTTAGTAAGACTCTATTTTGCTCCAATCATATTCAGGTGTCGGGTGCCACAGATATATGGAGAATACGAAACCCAACGACATTGGATGGAGATCACGATCTATCTACCAGTAAAAGAACGGTATCGCAACAACACATTGAATTATCTCAAATAATGGGGCCTCGATTACCTACAAGAGCTACATTCATGGGCTTTTTTAAAGATACTCTTGTTAGCACCATTGTGAGTTCTATATGATTGAACCATATAATCTTTTACTAGGACTTTATCCGATAAAAAAAATCCCATTGCAGCTATGCTCCTTTTATAACGAAGTGCTTCATCAAATGTTTCCATGTTAGGTGTATTTTATCAATCAGCGATATGATGGGGTGCAGTTATGGCAAATTGGCAATCGCAGAGCTTTCCTGGAGTGCATCAGCTTGTTTCGTCTCCTAACTTCATTTCTTTTTTACTCCTCTCCCCATCGACCTTTAATCTGTTAGAGATTGCAGCAGTAGATCGGCCAAAAATGCATCGTTGGGAAACTGGGATCATCAGAATTACTAGGCACCCTCAGGTATGAAACCAATCAATTATCATCGTCACTCAGATGTGCATTTTACACGTGTTTTTTGCCATACACATTCATATAAAGGAAAAGGCATGAATCCAAATCAACATTCTGGAATGTGTGTGAAGGGTTGTACCTTTGCCCGCACCAGGCTGATGTGTATGCCTACTCCGAAACCTGCGTAGGTTGGCAACCCGATACGGGGAGGAGGCATTCAATGCTGTGAAGAACCAGACTAGCATCGTCCCTTTTGCAGCCATTCTGGATGGTTGCCAAAAGTTGCCAAAAGATTATTACAGGGAGTTCACAGGTTGCCATACCTGGCTGTAACTATATTGACATTAGGTGTTTACTTTGCACACGTACTTATGCAGGCTGCTAGCTTCCAGCTTCACTGGTAGTTATTCTTAGTTCATGATGTGCCACTCTCTTGCCACCATGTAAACCGGAGTGGGATGTGGGTAGGGTGGATACAAATTGATAATATAAATGTTTATGGATGTAATCCATCATCTATAGTAATAGATTCATGTTATTTGTCTGTTCCTAAGCCAATGGAAGAGATATTCCAGCAGTATGCAGAGTAGTGCTTTATCATTTCACATATTCTTATTTCAAGGTAAGTATGATAGCCTGCTTTCTCCTTTAGTCTGTTATTTCTCATTTGTGCTTATCAAGTTATTAAAACCTCATCTTAGTACTGGTTCAATAGATTCAATCATCATTTTAATTGAACCGGTTGTGCCAATAATAACTTTTTTTATTTTCTTTTCTATAAAAATATATATGCATGTCATTCTCAAGTCCATATGCTATGTCTCGCTGGACAAACCTGCCAAGCCTATACCACTGATTTTTTTACCATCACCAAGAATGAGATATTCATGGACTATAGCTCGCATCATTCATGGCCAGACTCTACTATAGCTCAGTCTCGCTGGACTTTGACCTCTTATGATTCCTAACACTTCAAATTTCTGAAATTCAAACATTTTTCTTCTGTAAAACAAAAAACTCTGTTTCTATCCCAAACTTCAATTTCATCTCCCAGTTTATTTTTGTTATTAAAGCTATATTATTAGGAGGAATTTGTTTGTTAGTGTTTGCTTAGTGTTCATTGACGAATAGTACTCCATATGATATTCTCTATTTCGGTTTACTTTTTTTCCTGACTTCTGGTTGAGCTGTTGAGACCCAGAAGATGTTTAGAGGTCATGCCGGTTATTTACTACGCCACTATCATGAATCAAGAGTTGAACAACGGCTTGATTGTACAGAAAAATTTGCAAGTATCTACGGCGGATAATGTGGTCTCTTAGCTGTTTTGGTGCATGTTTCAATTTGTAAACTTGAATTTCAAGAGTTTTATCAAAACAGTATGTCAATCTGTTTTAGTAGAGATCAAATTGACGGAGTTCCAATGCTAGAAGTTAGTGGTCCTGGTTGTGCATGTAATTTGGTTTTATTTTGAATTTTAATTGTATACCTTCACTTTTTTTCGGTTTGTTAGAAATGGAAAGTTTTTTAACTTAGTGTCCTCTAATTTTATGGAAGAATTGGGGATGATACAAATACCTTTGAGGTGAATTACAAAATAACACTCCTACATTGTTTGCTCTCTTCAAAATGTGATGGTGCGTAAAAACTGAATTAAGGAAATTAATCAATAATTCTTTTATCAATTTTGGACACCATATTTGGATTAATATCAATGCCCCTGCACTCTCAATGATGAATGGCATACATTCCCTTTAGCAATGCTTCAGAGGCAAATATGTTTCTTAAATTGTAAATACGGTGTAAAGGTGCTTTGTTTATTGCAGATGAAGACGAAGACCCTGAGTTTAAGAAGCTTGTTTCAGGTGGCATCAGCATTCCCGCTTGTGTTGCAACTGCTGGAACTACTTTGATTGTTTGGTTTGTAAATTTGTAGATTCCATCGTATACTATTTTTTGTCTTTGGGGCTGTTTCTTCACCTTATCCTTTTCTTATTACTTGCTCTTATTATAGTCAACATAAGCAATCTATGTTTGCAGATACATTGTTACCATCTATGATTGAACTACTCTTTTCTATTTTTATTTTGATTATTTTTGCACATCTTTTTTGCTTGTTTTCGCGCAACGCCCGTTCCCATGCTAGTAGCTTCATAAACAATCTTGTCAAGAAAGAAAAATAATGAAAATGTTGTAGTAAATTAGCTTTATCGGTCTCTTCCAGTACCTATTAGCTTTATAAACAACAAACTTGTTTTGAATGGTTCAATTTTACAAAAATACTAATGAGGATTCTCAAACTATGCAAGCTATGTACAACCAGATATTGATAAAGACTTTCTTTATTGGATGCGGGTGGTGATGCTAGGAATAATGATGTCTAGCGTGTACAAATAAAAATGTTGTATGATTATAGTGTAGATTTATAGCATATTGTAATACACTATTGATTATTGGAGTAATAAATACAAATGTTGATATTTTATTTTGATTAGTTATTGTTATTTCTAAAATCTTTCATAGAATCAGTAACAAATAATATAATGATTAATACAAATGTTAATATTATCATATTTCTTATATGACATCAATGTGTCGAATTTTTATGACACCAATGTGTCACAAATTTTTATGATACCATTGTGTCACAAATTTTTGTGATACCAACGTGTCACAATTTTTTATGATACCAATGTGTCATAATCTTGTATCACATTAATTTGTAACAATTTACTGACACGCTTATGTTTTACGATCAGTGACACTAAAATAGTGCCACTGTAAGCCCGTTTTCTACTAGTGATCTGAGGTGCACTATTGCATTGAGAAATTTTACATCATCCACTTATGATCATTTTCGGCACACTATTGCATGCATTAAGTTCTCTTTTTGCAAATTAAAGAAGAAAATCTTCAATTTATTTACGAAAAAACCCACTGTATTTTTCATTCGATCACTTTAATGCATTTTTGACATAGTAGATTCTATGGTAACCTTAAGGTACCACACCTTTGTCCACGTGGACCAATAAGAATGATGTAGTTGAATTATTTAAATCTAAATTAAAAATAATGTAATGATTTGAACCAATCAAGTGAGTGGTAGGTATGGTACCACATTTTTTAAACGGGTACCGGAGTTGTCATCTTTTGACACATCTAGCCATTAGATCTTGAATCTCATCTTCCACATTTATTCATACTTTTCATGGGAAAGATTATTTATATTTGATCCAAAATCGTTAATAAAAACCGATCTAATCTATTTAATACTACATACAACGTATTAAGTGATAAGCGTCAAACTACACTTTCATTTTTTGGTTTAAACGTTTACCTATACACACACTGACACACACACACACTTATATACGGAGTGTGCATGTATAATATATTTGCAGACAGTTCTTTGTTATTCTAATCTATACTCTACTAATTTTATGCTTTCTCACTATTTTTCTCCTGAAGTGATGTTACTATTATTGTAAAGTTTTTTTTAAAGGGAATCAACTTAATTAGTATTAATCCGATTAAGTCAAAGCGTCAACAATACAAGTAGGGGAATACCCATAACCCATCCAAATATGATAATCAGAAATAGAACTAGCTGTTTTAGCCAATTCATGGACAACAGTGTTTGCTGATCGTCTAACAGAAGAAAAAGAAATACTCCGTACTCCGTACTCCGTACTCCGTACTAGCAAGCATTGTTAACTTCTGATATGACAAACAAGACGTCCCATTCGACCTCCACGAAATCTCATCCTTGATCATTAATCCAGCTCAAAGCTTCCCGAATGCTTTGCAACTCCACTTCAAGAGGAGAACAACTGCTGCAACCGCTTTTTACTTCACTCCCAACAAAATCCTCACTGTCATTTCTAAAAACCTAGCCGATTGAACCAGCTGGGCGCCTCTTTGATCCCTTGCTGCATCTACATTCATTTTGCACCAACCTGGCTTCGTATTTTTCAAGATTGTTATGCATTCTTTTTCAAAGAACGTATTGTGTTATTCATGTTATTGTGAAATAATGGAACAAGATGCTCTCTAAGGAGCCCCGACAGATATATTTATAATAGGAGAGTTTAATGTAAAGTACAATACTAATGGTCTAATAATTCTATTACACCCCCTCAAGCTGTGCGGGAGAAACAACGCGCAGGTTGTCTTTCAAAAAATGAAAACGCTGAGTAGGTAGACTCTTAGTAAAAATATCTGCCAACTGTAGATATGTAGGAACATGCTGAACGATCAGATCTCCATGGACAACACGTTCGCGAACAAAATGATAATCAATCTGGATATGCTTACTCCGAGCACGCTGGATAGGATTTGCAGTCAGATAGGAAGCTGAAATATTATCACATAATAGATGCACAGGTTCCGTGATGGGGTAGCCGAGTTCAAAGAGAACAGATCTGATGTGGAGTGTATCCTGAACGGTGTATGCAATTGTTGGAAAAATTGAGAGTATTTCAAATGAATAAAATGTTATTTCCTTTAATTATTTTTCACACACTAATTTAATAATAAATCTTATACATCTCTTATACATAATAAAATTATAATTATAATAATTATGTTTGAACGTTACAACACTTGGGATAGTTTGTTGACTATTAATTAATATGGTTAATGAACAAATTCATTTCCTCCTCGAAGCAACAACGGTTCTTCTTATGTCCATCGGTTAAGAATCTTTTTTATTAGTGTTATTATATTAATTCTATTTATTACCATATTAATGCTGCCAAAATTTTGAACGGTTCCTTTATTTTGAGGAGTTGGGAGTATATATGTTCTACATGGATAGTACGAAGAGGGGGAAGAAGAAGCTCCCTATGATTTACTCTGATATGTTCATACATAACAAAGTTTTACTCACAAAATTTTCGTTCAATCACATACTGCTGGATTAATTATATTATTCGACTCTCGTTGTTCTGTTATCGGCTTACGCCGAAGAGCTCGTTTTATCTTGGGGAAAGGTTTTCGCTAGTTGGAAATACTTTCTTGAGGACAGCGTTTACGCGACTCGAGCTATATTATTTTTCTTACGCTTTTTTGCAGGTTTATCCGGCCAATTTCCTCCAACAATCTCAAGAAAGTAATTCGCGTCGGATATGCCTGCACATATCAATTCACAAGGCGTTGCCGCCGCACTCATCGGAGCTATGTTATCTGTACTTGTGCGTTGCGAAGTAGCTTGTGATACACCCGCATGGGGAGCCGTATTAATCGGATTAATGCTCAGAAAAGTCTTTTGCATATAGTGGTTAGTCTCTCCACTTTCCTACTTACAATACGCCATACACACCAATTTTTAAGAAAAAATTGTATTCGTTTATTTAGTGATAAAATGACAACTATGAAAAACAACAACCCACTAAGATCAAGTTTAAACTTGGTTTGTAGTGATGATAATTTTAATGCGGTTGTTTCTCAAAGTTGCAAAACTAGTGATGTGAATGAGTGGGTGGTGGACTCCGGGGCTACCAAGCATATTTGTAAAAACAAAAATGATTTTACCTCCTATACTATTATAGGAGATGGTGAAGAGCTCATGTACCTAGCGGACTCTAAAACTGTTAAGGTGCATGGAAAAGGGAAAATTCTTCTGAATCTCACATCGGGGAAAACTTTATCACTAAATGATGTGTTTCATGTGTAACACCGACCCCGAGCATATTTACTTTTAGTAAATTATGTAATAAACCTTGAAGAATGATTTAAGAAATTGCGTGATTGTAAATTTTTACTATTTCTTTTACGTGAATAGTAAATTGCATGTGGGGCCCACAGCGGGAACGGGGACCGCCCGATAATTCCCGAACCACATATGATATTCATCTTGGTCTAGATAATATGTATATGGTGGTGGATATTTTATTTGGGCCATAAGAAAGGCATGGAGTTGACCGGTTGGTCAAACGGGGCCCAATTACCGGTATTGGAAATTTAGCGGATAACAGCCCGAAATGAGTTTCGGAGACTCCTAAATTGATGTTGGGGAATGTACATCTATTCTAAAGGCCCATAATCTTTGGGAACGCGTCATATATTTTATTTGGCCCGATAAAATAAAATATAATTAAAACGGACCGAGAAATACAACTTTCGGGGCCGATTGTACACACCGGGACATAACGGGATGACCTCCCACCTAAGTGGGGGCCACCCCACATTTTTAGGTGTGATGGCTGACTAAGAAATAGCTGGAGGGGACAAGCCAAAGTGGCTTGTGCGGACAGGAAGAGGGGAGGAAGTCTCATTGAGACAAAACCTCATGCCAATGCCTCATTCTAGGCATTATTGGCATTCTTGATTGAGGAGGAAACATCCCCCCTATCCTCTTGCCTTGCACGACCAAAACCAAGGGAGGAGGAGCTCTGGGAATAGCTCACACCAACAAGGACTTTGGAGGAAGCAAAAGAAAGGGAAATCCAAAAAGAAAAGCTAGAAGAAGAGGTAAGAATACAATTTCTACTCTTTTAACTAGTTCTACGGTGTATGATTTTTATGAAATCATATGGTGGATTAAACCATGAGTTCTACACGTTTAAAAGTGTAGAATATTGTTATAAAGTGGTGATATTTAACTTAGAAGAGTTGGTGAATCGATAGGAGTCGAAATCGCCGGGAAACCGCCATTGTTGGAGACTGTTTTCGAGCTGCAGGCCCGAACGCCGCCCACCTTTCACGAAAGCCGTCCGGCTTTCACTTGATTTCCAGATTTTTCACTCTTGAACGGCCTAGAACGAGGACGGATCGAGGGGGTTCCGCTAGGGCAGCTAGTTGAGCACATTACAAGGTGAGGATGGCTGACTATATTGCTTATAAATAGTGAGTTAATTTCATGAGATTACCGAAGGTAATTAAATGTGTTTTTATGGATTATTAATGATTAATAATGCCTAAAAATGAAAAGACTAAATTTCTAAAGAAAAAGGAGCATGATATACAAATCTAAGAGTAAATTGTGTATGTTCATGTGTTATGAGTATGTTGACTTGAAAGTGGAATTTATTATGAAACATATGTTGAAATATACTTTTTTCTTCATATTAGAATATATGAGTGATTAAAAGTGATATTT